CAGACAGAACTACATCAATATACGTATATAGACGTATCTTCACCTTTGAAACTATTATTATTTTGAAATTTTAATATTCCTGAATATTAAACATTAATTGGGATTATTCATCACTGATTAATTATAATCACTGTTTAAATTTGTAAACAGATTAATAGATAAATTGTTGCACACGAGGTAATTAAATAACCATCGAAGAAAATATCAGCACGAACTCGAAAATTAACATGCAAAATTGTTCTTGAGTTTTACTATAAATAATATTTAGTTCATACATATATTCTTTTTTTCAATTTTATCGCTATCAATATTATTTGATCAATAATGTATGTATAAGAAGGCCCAGTAATACCGCAATAGAGACAGTCAATCTTTATCGACATTTCAGATTGGAAACAAAAACCAGCGCGATCATTTCCGAAACATCGAACTCGACATGTTTTTTACTCAATTCAATTAATTGTTCCCGATGATTTTGTACAGTTACTGCAATAAATAATTGAGAAACGTAGAATCGTAACGATATGAATTTGTTAACTGCAGATACATTTATTCGTAAATAGAATCACGTATTCACACTTTTATTTATTTATTCACTTCAATTTCTTCCATGTTACTAACTCATTATAATTACAACGATTAGCTTCAGATTCGCTATATTCCAATGGATGATTTTATATTTTTCTAGATTACCGCGAAATTATAGTAATTTTAATATGATAGGAATAAATGTTACAACAAAATTTTGTAATTAGATAAAATACCTTTCACGTCACAGTATATTATGGCCCCTTCTGATATTCAAATTTCATTTCAATTTATGATTCAACGAGCGTATGTAAAGCCATGACTTTTAGTTCTATAGTAATATTTGAATTTATAACTTTACACTCGCGTGGGGGCCATTTTAAATTTAATACCGCGGTCGAGAACAGCTGATCGAATTATTTAATATTTGCAGTTGAAAAAGCCAAATTAATATTTGTAGCTGGAAAAAAAAATCGAAAAAGATCAAATTAAATGTACTATTTATTTATCTTCCACTAATTAACAGTCGTTCTTAATTATTTTGCCATCTATCGCGCCACCTCTCTCGAAAGTCACTTTCCAACCATTCCTTTACAACTATTATCACATTGTAACAAAGCAAATCAGATTATTTGTTTCTTATCGACCAGTGGCAAAGCTGCGTGTTGCCTGCTTCTGTGCACGTTGTTTTCGAACTTTTCCTCCGCAAATAAAACCGTACAACACTTATCACCCAGAGGTATAATCTGGCTGCTGCTGTGAACTACGTCAACGCGAAAAACCAAAAAAAAAAAAAAAAAAAAAAAAAAAAAA